TTTTTTGTTAAACATATAAAATTATTTGAATATTTTATTATTGTAAATATAAAATTTACAACAATAAATATATTTTCTTATGAGCTTATGTATATTCAATTTAAAAAATTTGAAAATATGTAAAATGAATATACATCTAAGAACAAATGAATAAAAATATAAACAATATCAAAGAAAAATATATAAATAATATGAATGTTAAATGATTGTTAAGAGGCTGTTGAACTAAAGAAAAAGAATATATATTATTTCACTAAAAAAATATTGAACCATCTCATCAAAGATGAGATAATAAGATAAAAATTTTGAATATATGATTTTGTTCATAATGTCATATTTGAATTTTATGGAAGTATGAAATAAAAAATTAAAGTATTATGATACCATTTTTTAAAAGATATAAGAGGTATAAATTGGTGTAAGAAAAAAATTGCACATCACGCGAGTTATATTCTACTAAAAATAAGTAAATAAATGATTAAAAGTAGCATAAAATTGTAACTGGTTAAATCAATTTTTTTTCTTTAAGTTTAATAAAATTGTAAAACTTATGTATCACGCAAACCGTATTTTAGGATTAAAATTGAATATATTTCATTTATATTGTAGTTCATTAGAAAGTAATCAAAATATTATGAATTTATGTATAAGAGCGATGAATAAAAATGTATATGAAAGATATGAGATAATAGAAAAAAAAAACAAATTATGTTATTATTTGAATCATCATAATTGAGTTTCAACCGATTGTCAGGAGGTTGAATGTTTAAAGAGGAAAAGGATATATGATTTCACTAAAGGATATTGAACAATCTCACTAAAGATGAGAAAATAAAGTGAAAATTTGAATATAAGATTTTATTCAAAATATTATATTTGAGTTTTTTTGTAAGTATAAAAGAAAAATATTGAAAACGATGTAATACTATAATTTAAAATAAATATAAAAAAGAGAAATTTTGAAAAATTCCACTTTTCAAAAATATCACGTTTTTAAAATTATTTACTCATTATATCATTTATTTTTGGGTTAACTATGTTGTATTAGTGGCATGTAAAGTAAAAAAAAATTAATGGTGATATTATTCATTAATTGTACAACAAAATATACGGACAATGATATATGATACAAGAAAATACATATTTAATAATTTAGTATTGGAACCAATGCTTTTAACCCAAAAGATCTAGAATTTTTTTTTTAAGTGTTTAACAAAACGTAAAAAAAAAGATTATATAGAAATTAACTTTCTATAATTATATTAGTGTCTTAAGTACAAGAAAACTAAAAGAAAGCCCAATTATAGCCCAATTTTGTTTCTCTTTTTCAGAGTCAAATTAAATCTCAACGTTTGTAAAAGATAAAATACAACGGTAAGAAAAAGCACAGTAATATTGATTGGACGCATAACGGATACATAACAACACTCAACGTTCAAATTTTAGTTCTCTATATAACGCCCAGATGCAACAAATAAAACAGTTTTTCCAATATACAGTAAACTCTATCTATTTTCTGTAGAATCTCTCTCTAATTAATCATTCTCCAAATAAAAGTGTTCAATTTCGAGGTTAGCTTCCTCTCTCCCTGAAGATTTTTTACGCAGGAATCTTGCAATTAAAGTGTTTGATGAAAGCATATAGATTTTATCATTGCCTTTGTTGGTTTGTTTTACAATGTGTGCTATTATTATGCTCTGTTTTTGTGTCTTTTGTTTCACATTTTTGAGGTTCTTGTATTAATTTCATTAGATTAAGCTCTTTGGCCTAAAACCTTTGTTTCAAGATCCACGAATGCGCTGAGTATGAACTTGTGTGACTTCTTGTCATTGAGATGGAGATAGCAGAACAGCAGCTCTTCCATCAAGTCCCAGTCCACTTCCTTTTAAGCATATTTTAGATAAAATGAGACGATCCACTTATTTTCAAGTTAGTTTTTAAAAAGTTTATGAAAATTGCGATAATCATTGCGACTGTGTTCGTAGTGGATGCGATGACGGTCGAGATCTCTCAGGTTCGCTTCCCTTATCATAAAGGCTTACTGTGTGATCGGAAGGTTGTTTTTGAATTTTCAGGTAATGTAAAGAGTTTCTAGATTTTGGAAAAAGTTTGTGATTTGTATGGCCATCAACAATATGGTATTACCAATAATGCATGATACGATCTTAATGAAAATTCTTTCGTCTTACCTAATCCATCAAATAAATCATATAACTGTTCATACTCTTGGGTAGATAGTGATTATTAAGCTTTGTTTTAAACATCCAGACATAGACATCGTAAGAGTTTACTTAATAACATCCAAACAAAACGCATAACAACAAAAGAAAGAAAGGTTGCATTGCATGACAAAGTTAAAACACCGCTCGGCTTGGAGATCTTCCTACTCCAGTCTTCTCTAATTCATAGCCTTCGTTTCTAAAACAAAGCACGAAAGTTTTACTTTGTTGGCAAGAATCAAGAATCCAGGAATCAAGAACAAATTTATGTACCTGAAATCGAGGACCGCGGAGTGAGCATGTAAGACGCTCGTTGACAGTGTATCTTGGTGGTCTACTAAGACACGCAACAAGTACTTTGCGCTTTCCAAGGTTGCTTCCATTAAGTTCCAAGGCCTTGTCTACTGCGTCAAAGCCCTTGATATCTACTACCACAGCTGCCCTGTAAGAAATCAACAAAGACAAGTCTTTAGTGAGACTTCAATAACTTGAAAGTTGGGAAAATTGGTAAGAGGAAGAAACCACAAACCGCTTCTTCAAGATCATGACTTTCGTGATCTCTCCACATGAAGAGAAATGTTCACGCGACAAGTGGTCAATCTCAGATTCAGTAAGCGAAGTGTCATATCCTTGAACAATTAAGGACGTACTCCTGCAGTCAATGATATATATTATCAACACATGCAAGAACACATCTAAAAGACACAAATCTCCAAAAAATAAAGTTCAGTTTACTCGTTGTCCATAAACGGATAAGCCTTAGCAAAGACATTCCATCCACCCACGTCACTTCCACTAAGTTCCAAGGCCTTGTCTACTGCGCCCTCTCCCACGAAATAAATGTAAGCAACACAAGGCCTTTTTTGTATGTAAACATCAGTGATCTTTCCACATGAAGCAAATTGTTTTCTCAACGCACTCTCAACATCCTCATCAGGAATCCCAGTGTCAAATCCCGTAACGGAAATCCTCCCAATGTCACTGAAACCATTTGATTCGTTATAAACGTATATGACAAGAACAACAACATCCTTTTTATCAGACAATCAATTTACCGTTGTTTTGGTTTGGCTGCATCAGGGACGTTGACAGGTCCATCTGGGAACCACAAAGCAATCTCCTTGTTAGCACTCTCCACTGAGTCACTCCCATGGATCAGGTCGCTGCACCAAATCATGTCGTTCCTCATTCGACCCAATGCATACATTTATTGATTATATAAAGAAAAAAGTGCTCTAACCTACCAATGTCAGTGTCCATGTCATTACAAGGGATTGTCTTTCCAACGATCTTTCTTCCGGTCGAAACAGCATTCTTCCCCTCCTAGATCATTGCAACGACTGGGCCAGAGCCTATGTAGTTGACAAGATGAGGGGAGAAGGGCATGGCAGACGAGTCTTCGTGGTTTTGCTCAGCACAAGGGCAGTCCACAGAGATCATCTTTAGACCTGCCCATGCCACAAATGATCATCAACTAAACCAATCAAAGTCCTCAATGCATCTAACTCAGACAAATCAATGGCATAACATGGACACTATCAATTCGAAAATTAAGCAGAGAAGATTATGCTGCTACCAACTTTCTAAAACTAATGTGAAAATAGACTTAAGAGTTCGGTCGGTATTCTTACCTTTCAAAGTGAAACCCTTCCTATCAAACCTGCGGATGATTTTACCGACCTGAATTACAAAAAAAAAGGATCCTCGTCAAGCCTAAAAAAACTCGACATGAAAAGGGAAAGTTTGTCGGGAAACGTACAAGACCAGTCTGGACGCCGTCGGGCTTGATCAGGATGAAAGTTTGCTCCATTGTGTCAAAATAAATCCTCCCAATGTCACTGATATAATTTGATTGCAGGAGATGATGTTATGAACGAAAGTGACAAGAACAACAACATCCTTTCCGTCAAAAATCAGAAAAACCAATTTACCGGGCATTTGGAGTGGCTGCATCAAGGCCCATGACAGGTCCATCTGTGAACCACAAGGCAGCATCCTTGTACGCGCTCTCCACTGAGTCACTCACATGAATCAGGTTGCTGTGCGCCAAATCATGTCATTTCTCATTCGACCTAATACATACATATCTTCCAGGACCATTTAAAGAAAAAAGTGCTCTTACATACCTGCCAGATTTAGTGTCCATGTCAGAAACTGAAGCTGTAGGGATTGTCTTTTCAATGATAGTTCTTCCGGTCAAAAGAACGTTCTCCCCTCCCCAGATCATTGCAATGACTGGGCCAGAGACTATGCGGTTGACATGAAAACGGAAGAAGGGGGGCTTGGCAGACCAGTCTTGGTAGTATTTCTCAGCAAAAGGGCGGTCCACAGTGATCATCTTAAGACCTGTCCATGCCACAAATGATCATCAACTAAACCAGTCAAATGGGTAAAAGTGTCTCTAGTCTAAGCTAGAGCGATTATGCATCTATCAACTTTCGGTCGGTATTCTTACCTTCCAAAGTGAAACCCTCCCTATCGAACCTGGGAATGATTTGACCGGCCTGAATTAC